GGTATTGGACTCTACTTAGATATTTTACAAGATGACTCTAAGGGGAGTCTTAAGAGGTTGTTCTTAAGTATGATATTATAAAATTGCATGATGTTGACTTTATATTATGATATTTTTACATGATTATGATTTTTGATGAATACAATATTGGTATATATTTCTAATTTTCACTATATCTACTCATGAGGCTACACTATGTTAAATTAGACATTGCTTATCATCTTTCTTTGGGATTGGTTAGTTAATTAAGGTTATAGGGCTTTGCTTGGTCATTGCAAATGTAGACTTGATCTTGGGTTATGAGTAAGGGTCTTGTAAGTAAGGTAATATTAAGGATGCTACCACGCATGTTGACTTGGTTATACTTGATGGTGTTAGTCTTGTGATAGATTTGATCTTCTCTTAGTGAATATGTGGTTATTCGCTTATATGGGTTCTTGAATGTACATTGAAGACTTTAGAATGACTTAGCATTCCTTTCAAAGGAAATATCCTTTTTTAAGGCATGTTTAAATTGTTTTATGTGCATATGCCTATACTGAGTACAAGTGATGTATTAACCCATATTTCTATTCTTACTACAATAATGTAGGTTCTTACCCTTTTTTTTAGAAGGCCATTGAAGAAAACATAGGCGATGCCACTATCTTTCTACTGGATATTGTTTGGTTGTAAAGACACTTTTGTTCATTCCTTTTCATTTGAAGAAAAATGTTGTATATGCCTATAAGTGGATTTGAATGTATGAAGTGCAGACTATTTCCAATGTTGTACTCTCTATTGATGGATTTAATACAATACATATCATAGCCTTCTTATGAATCTATGTTTCTATTTTGTGTATGCACAATAAAAGTTGGTTTTAATATACATATCATTTCCTTTTTATGAATCTATATTTTTATGTTATGTGTTCACAATAAAAGTAGAAGCCTATGTAGTGCTTCCAATGTAAGGTGTCTATGTAGACTCCTTATGTATATTTTATCTGTATACGAGAGGTTTATGTAAACCTCACTATAGAAGTAGTAAATATGTTTTAAATTTTCTACAAATAAACCTATGAAATGTAATGATGAATGCTAAGAGGTATACTTCAAGGGGGTATTTCGAGGATGTGACATATAACCTACGAGGGAACACAGTTATGGAACATGGCGATATCTTCTAGAAACCTTCACTTACTAGCGTTGAGGTTTCCATCTCATGAGACAACATCTACGTTGGGAACTCAGACTTGATGAAAATGAAGTTTCTACTGTGGGAAGCAGTATTTACTAACGTGAAGCCCCCACTCTCATTTGTCATGTTCACTCGGTGCTAGGCTCTAACTCCCTTTTTAAATATATTTAAGCCTTTAGAGCATTAGTTCATAAAGAAGGCTTTAGGAGCTTGCTTTCATTCATAATATAGATCAAAGGATTCTAAGATGAGAATGTCCTTTCATCATAAACCCAACTTCATGTCAGAATATTCTTTCACATAATACTATAATCATACATCATGTTTGTGTGCATATAATGTGAGATCTACTTTAACATAAACACCTCTAATTACACATGTACATAACATTATTAATCATATACTTCACATGCATATAAATATGTAATGATGCATAGGAGAACTATCAATGTCAACGTGAATGACAATCTGAATAAAAATGTTTACGTGAAAATCAACTTGAATGTAATCATCAACATGAACGTCAACATCAAGGTGAACGTAAATGTCAATATCAATGCTAATCTAAACGTCAATATAAAAATAGATATGAATATCACCATCAACTTAAAAGTAATCAAGAACGTGAATGACAATGTGAACGTAACATGAACATTAATTTCAACGTCAATGTCAATGTCAATGTAAATATCAATGTGAATGTGAATATCATCGTCCTTGTAAATGTGAATGTCAACGTAAATATACATCACTGCAAACATCAAAGTGAACATCAATGTGGATATCAACGTGAACATCTACACAAAAGTCAATATGAGCGTGAATGTCAATGTCAAGGTGAATGTTAATGTCAATGTGGTGAACGTCATTGTCAACATGAACATCAATGTAAATGTCAATCTGAATGAAAACGTGAACGTGAAAATCATCATGTACGTCAATATCAACGTGTACATTATTATCAATGTGAACGTCAACATCAAGGTGAACGTAATGTCAACATCAATAGTAATGTAAACGTCAACGTGAACAGCAATGCAAACATTAATGTCAACGTCAATATAAATATAAACGTGAATGTCAACACTAATGTAAACATATACGTGAACAACAATGTGAAAGTAACATGAACATTAAAGTCAATGTCAATGTCAATATAAACGTAAATGTCAATGTGAATGTGAACGTCAATGTCAATGTCAATGTTAAGATGATAGTCTATATAAATATCAATGTAAATGATAGTGTAATCATTAATGTCAACGTTAATGTGAACATCAATATCAATGTCAATGTAAACGTGACCATGAACATCAATCCTAATGTAAACGTTAACGTGAATATCAATATGAATGTCAATGTCAATGCTAATTTGAATGTAAACGTTAATTCAACATCAACATTAACATCAATGTCAATGTGAACGTGAACGTGAACATCAATATGCGCGAAAACGTGAATGTAAAAATCAACCTGAACGTCAACATCGTTATGAATGTCACTGTGAAATTATACATGAAAACATCAACATCAATGTGAATTTAAATGCCAAAATAAACATGAACGTCAATGAGAACGTAAACATCATCATAAACGTCAACGTCAATGAAAACATAAATGTGAATGTGAATGTGAATATAAACATGAATGTGAATGTGAATGTCAATATCAATGTCAACGTCAATATAAATGTCAACTTGAATGTAAACATCAATGTCAATATCAATGTAAACGTAAATGTCAACATAATTAAAAATCTGTGCGAACCTCAAATCTAACATAAATTTCAACTTGAATATTAACATGAATGTCAGTGTCAACATTAACGTTAATGTCAATATGAACATCAATCTGAACGTCAATGTCAATGGCAATGTCAATGTGAATATCAACGTGAACATCTACATGAATGTCAATGTGAACGTGAATGTCAACGTAAATGTTAACGTGAACTTCAATGTCAATGTGAACGTCAATATCAATGTAAACTTGAATGACAACGTGAATACAAATGTGAACGTGAAAATCACCGTGAACGTCAACATCAAGGTGCATGTAATTGTCAATATCAATGATAATGTAAACATCAATATAAACATCAACGTGAATGTCAACATCGACGTCAATGTAAACATGAACATGAATGTCAATATCAACATCAATGTAAACATGAACATGAATGTCAACTCAAATGTAATTATCAACATGAATGACAATGTGAACGTAACATGAACGTCAATGTAAATGTCAATATCAATGTCAACATAAATATCAATGTGAATGTGAATGTGAATGTGAATGTCAATGGCAATGTGAACGTCTGTATGGACATCAATGTCAATGTCAATGCCAACGTGAGCATCAACGTGATCGTCAATAAAAATATCAATATTAATGTCAACATCGATGTGAATATCAACGTCAATGAAAACATCAACGTCAATGTCAATGGAAACGTGAAGGTAAATGTCAATGCTAATTTAAACGTTAACGTGAACATCAACCAGAACGTCAATATGAATGTCAACGTCAATGTCAACAGGAACATCAACATCAATGTCTGTGTGAACGTTGCATCAACGTTAATGTAAATGTTAACGTCAATGTTAATATTAATGTGAACGTCATTGTCAACATGAACGTGAACGTCAATAGCAACATGAACGTGAACTTTGATGTAACATCAACATGAGCATTAACGTCAATATCAATATGAATATCAATGTCAATGTCAACATAAATATTGATGTCCACGTCAATGTCAATGTCAATGTTAATGTAAATGTCAACATGAGAATCAATGTGAATGCTTATGTGAACGTGAACGTGAATGTCATATTCAACCAGAATGTGATTTTCAACATGAATGTCAACTTCACCATAAAAGTCAATATCAATGTTAACATCAACGCCAATGCAACATGAATGTCAACGTAAACATCAATGTGAACGTATATGTCAATGTAAATTTTAGCATCAACTTGAACGTGAACTTAAATTTTAATATGAAAATGAACATGAATGTCAACCTCAACATGAACATCAAGGTCAACATAGATGTAAACATTAACATCAATGTCAACGTAAACATGAACGTCAATGAGAACGTGAATATGGACATCAACGTCTACATCTACGTGAAAATAAACATGAAGGTGAATGTAACATCAATGTCAATGTTAATATCAACGTCAATTTTAACATAACATAATTTCAATGTCAATATCAATGTCAACGTCAATGTCAACATCAACTTCAATGTCAAGGACAATGTAAACGTCAATGTCAACATGAACATCAGTGTGAACGTGATTGCCAAGTTGAACGACAATGTGAAAGTGAATGTAAAGGTCAATGCCAACATCAATATCAATATCAATGTAAAGGTTAACATGAACATTAATTTCAACATCAACGTAAACGTCAATATCAACATCAACGTCAACGTCAATGTCAATATTAACATTAACATAATTGTCAATGTGAACATCAATGTCAACGTTAACGTCAACTTCAATATAAAAATCAATGTAAACCTGAATGTCAACGTGAGTATCAACGTGAATGCCAATGTAAATATCAATATGAACATTAACGTTACCGTGAACGTCTACATCAATATAAACATTAACATGATCGTTAACATCAACATAAACATCAACGTAAATGTGAACGTCAGTGTCAATGTCAACGCTAATTAAAATGTCAACGTTAATATCAACGTGAAAGTTAATGTAAACGTCAAAGTAATAATGAACATGAATATCAATGCTAATGTAAACGTCAACGTGAATGTCAATATAAATGTCAATGTCAATTTAAACGTTAATGTCGACGTGAACGTTAATGTCAATGTAAATATTAATGTGAACATTAGTGTGAACGCCAATGTAAACTTTAATGTCAATGTGAACATCAATATGAGCGTCTATAAAAGCGTCAACGTGAAGATGAATGTGCACATCAACGTGAGCATCTATGAAAACATCAATGTGAACGTGAATACCAATGTCAATGTGAACATCAACCTCAACGTCATTGTAAACATGAATGTGAACATCAACGCTAATGTAAATATCAACATGAATGTCAGCATGAACATCAATGTTAACGTCAATCTCAAGGTCAACATTAAAGTCAACATCAATGTCGACATCAAAGTTAATGTCAATGTTAATGTCGACGTGAACGTCAACATCAATATCAACGTGAACATTTATGTCAACCTCAATGTGAACGTGAGCATCAATGTTAACAATAACACGAACGTCAATGTCAATGTGGTCTTGAACGTGAAGTTTAATATGAATATCAACATGAGCATCAATGTAAACATCTACGTGAACATCCCTCTCCACGTCAAGTTAAACATGAATGTCCACATCAACGTCAATGTCAATGTTAATGTCAATGTCTACATGAACGTCAATGTGAATGATAATGTGAACGTGAACGTCAACATAAACTTAAACGTCAATGTGAACTTCAATGTCAATGTCAATGTCAATTTAAACATCAATGTCAACATCAACATGAATATTAATGTGATAATAAATGTGAACATATATGCCAACGTAAATGTGAACTTCAACTTGAACATGAACGAGAACCTCAACATGAACATGAATGCGAATGTCAATGTCAATAAAAATGTAATCGTCGATGTGAACGTGAAGATGAATGCCAACATAAGTATAAAAGTCAAGGTGAAAATCAATCTGAATGTTAATGTTAATATTTACGTCAACATAAACGTGCACATGAATGTCAATTTGAATGTGAATATAATGTCAATGTCAACATCAATGTGAACGTAATATCAATGTTAAAGTGATTTGAATGTTAACATAAGCGTGTACATTAATGTCAATGTCAGCGTCAACATGAATGTCATTGTGAATGTGATTATCAAGGTGAACATTAACATTATAGTGACCATGAAAGTAAATATAAATGTCAATGTCAATGTCAATGTAAATGTCAACCTGCACGTTACCGTGAATGTCAATGTCAACGTCAACGTGAATGTTAATATCAATATTAACATCATTGTCAATGTCAATGTGAACGTGAACGTCAACATCAACGTCAATGTCAACGTCAAACTCAATGTGAATGTTACTCTCAACATGAACATCAACGTGACCATCAACATGAATGTCTACATGGATGTCAACTTCAACATAATCATTAATGTCAACATGAACGTCAACGTTAATATGAACGTGAATGTGAACATCATCGTAAACGTTAATGTAACGACCCACAAGTCCCCCCTAAATGTTAGGGAGAACCCTTGGGTCATGACATGGTGTCCTCGACCCTTTGGGTTCTTGTACAAGCCCTTAACTATCGTCCATTACATAAGACATTAAAAGTGGTGTGGAATAAAAACTCTTCAAGACATTTAATAAAAATCTAGTGTTTCATATATTTTTAGAGAATGTCATTGTCACAATAAAACTTATAGACACAATATAATATCTTAGGGATACGACCCTTTACAGTAAAAAGAAAATATATAATAAGTCTTAAAATTAAAATTAAGAAAAACGTATACTATGTCGTCGAATATATTAGGATATACCAAATCTTGAGAGAGTATATTTCCCAAGCTTCTCCATCAAATATTTCAAAATGTTTCCAACCTATACTTTCATAGTATAAAAAAGTATGGAGTTAGTACAAATAATGTACCAATTATGGCACATGCAGAAAGGGAAATTTTAGTAAGAATAGACTTTCATGTCAATTAAGTAATGAATTCATTAATATAAAATTAAAATAACATAAGTATATTCATTTAACACTTAGAGAAGAATTTTCATAATTTTCACCAAAACACACCTTTTACGGTAAACTTCCAAAAGATTACAGTGAATTCAATTTGAGCATTTACAGTGAACTACCCTAATTTTAAAGGAGTGAACTTTCAAGGCCAAACAAAGAAGAAGTGAGCTCATTTTCGTAGGAGTTTCCCTAAATAATGATTATCGTAAGACTCTTAAAGGTAAGACATGAAGGAAGTACGCATATGCCTCTTTAAATAATCACCAAAGTGATCCTCCGGATATTAATTTTTCGCTTACTCACATCGGGAGAACAAGCTTCCACTCAATAACAAGACATCAGAAGAACACCCAAAACATCCACCAAGTCTTCCTTTTTAGAATTCCTACTTAGTGCAATGAGTAGATGTGTCCCATACCACCACCTACCTTAAGTAGGACACTCTTTTAGAAGGCTTGGCACCAAGATTCCCCTTTTAGAAGGTCTACTCAGTGCAATGGAAAGATAGTGTCCCATTCTGCTACCTACCCTAAGTAGTAGGTTCTTTTAAGAAAACTTAGTTCATTCAGTTTACATAGACTCACTAAGAGCCGCCTTTTAGAACGCCTACCTAGTCAAATTGATAAATAACGTCCCATTCCACTACCTACCCTGTGTAGTACACTATTTTAAATGACTTAGTATTTTCATTACTTTTGTCGGAGGTTAGATTAACCGACATAGACCGTGGGAGCTAGACATGGAATCCCGATTTTAAAATTTATCGGATGAGGGATTATCAATTGCCTAGATTAAGGTCATTAATTTAGCTTTTACTTGGCTTGGCCAATAGGTACACCTATGTGGACGCATAGTTAAGGCATAAGGAGATTGCTACTAAGTAACTCATTCTCTACTTAGGAGGATTACTCATCTGAAGAGGTATATTGGAATACAACATCTCAACTCATAAAGTGTAACCACCTCTTCTTCATATCCTCTCTGTGATAGACATAAACCCGATGGATTCTAATCATTATCTACTATAGGTAAAGATAACTAGTGAACAACATAACTAAACTCATGAAGGGAATTCATCCTCCGACCTATCTTAGAAAGTTCTTAGAATGTAGTGAGGTTGCTACTAAACACTTCATCTCAACTCATGAAGAGAGTCCACCTCAAAACTCCTCTATTTACTTATCTTATCTTCATTCATTCACTTAAGTGTGTGTGCACATGTGAGCACACCTTGAATATAAAAATAATTCCATTTACATTAAGTTCTATACATTCTATAGACATTCATTCATCAATTCACACACTTTACATGCTACATGTAATCATATACTTCATTTAGGCATAATCTAAATCAAACATGCTATTCAAGCTTCATTATTCACAACACAAGAACGATCTTATTCATAACTTCATTTCACATATTAGGCCATCAAAGCAACACTCACAATACATACTAAGTATAATAAATTTCATCATGAAAACACCGCCACCAAGAAGGTGGACCATACCACATAAGAGCGTTTCATAATTCATGCGTAAACAACATAACCAACTTATCCTTTAATTCTAGATTCCATCACCTATAGCATTTTTAATCAATAGTTCATCATAAAAAGCCCTTAGGTCAGTAGCTAAACATCGGTAGCAACATAATTAAATAAAAGCTCAAAGACTGCAAATTTAAGCTCATTTAACCCATTTCTTAACCCAACATTTGATTAAAAGCTATAACATATTTTCATTGAATTATTGCCCATAAAATTATGAACTAAATTTAGAAGAAACATTATGAAGTTATTAAAAATGTTTCACGCAAGACCCATATTAAGAGTTGAAGTTATAAGAAACTGGGGTTGAAAACCCTTTTTAAAAATCCTTCAGAATGGACTCCTTGAATGGAAGAGACTTCAAGAATGGATACCATACCTTAGATAAAAGAAACCCCAATGATTTTTATGCAGAATTTTGCCACGAAAAGCCCTCATACTCTTCTCGACATCTAGCTTCCTAAGAGACTTGAGATAGAGTTCTAAGGGAGAGGGGTTTTGGGTTATAGGAAGAGTTGTCTAATATTAAGTCTTAGGCTTTGAAATACTTCAATATATGTAATAAACCCTAAAATAAATGTCCTTCGGTCAGAAAATACTATGGGTCAATTTACCATACACCCCCTAACTTGGTAAAATATTATAGCTTTTCACAGGCCCATCGACGATTCACAAATGATGGAGCATTTTTCATCCAACGCCCTATTGGTGAGCGTCCGTTGGTTGAATCGGTTACCATCAAACCTACATACCTTCAGGTACAATCTACCGACCAACTCGATGAGGCGTCGATTGGTCAACTATTCTTGTTGGTTGACAATGCCAGATAGTTTTGGACTCAAGTCTTTGTCCCTTCTCTATGGCCTCTTGTGGGTCCTAGGTGTGGTCGTGCCTGGACGTTATACACCTAAACATATATGTATTGGTCATAGGAACATATCACATGACTATGGATTAAAAAAACACGTCAAACTCAATCAAGCACATCAAGACGCAGAAGCACTCTCTAAGGCACACTTTCCTATCATCATGGTCGTTCTTGGACGTTTCACCTACGAACCTTACATAATGCATAAGGAAACTAACTTAACTCACTCTAACAAAAAATTACCTCAAGAAACAATCACAATGCTTTAGTTCACCTTAGTTCGTTTTAGGTGTTACATTCTCCCCCATTTGGGATAGCATTCATCCTTGAATGACACTAAAACTTTAAGACCATCAATAAATTCATTAGAAACTCATAAAACATAAAATCATAGTTAAAACACTCAAAATAAAAGCATTAACTAGAAAGGAGCACCACTTCACATTTTCACACACTAGAAACATAGGCAACTTTTGCATCAACTTCACAATTTAAAAATATATCCTTATCCTTCTTTTCTCGTGGATCTACCTTATGCAACATTAAAAATTTTCATACACAGTAATTTTTAACACATTCAAACTTCAATCAAAGAAAAAATAATTTTTTTCAAAATTCACAAAACTTACAATGAACATCATTGTAACAATGCCAAACATGCAATTTTTTTTCAAAATTTTATTCTTTGTGCAATTCATCAAAATTACATAATGATATGAATCATAAAACCATATAAAATCATTTCATAAAATAAAAAAAAATCATAAAGAGTCAATACTTAATAGGACTATAAACAGTGGATTAGTACTCCTCCCTACTTTCCAGCCCCTGGAGGTAACCCTTCTTTGGAGCATTGTGATCTAGACCACATTGAGGATCTTCTGTAACCTCCATCCCTCTTTCTTTGATATTAGGGTTGGAACCTCATATTGTATCTCTTATTAACACATGCAAAATAACAATCCGTACGACCAAGACACCAACAAAATTGTTGCTTTCCACAAGTAGTGCTCCTAGTCCTCTAAAAAGTGTGGCTACCACCTTAGGAATTTTAGTTTGGAACCTTATCCTTGATCCCCATGGAAGAATCTTGTTTCAAGAACCTCTTCTTAGGTATTGTGACTAGATTCATCCGATCTAGGCCT